AACCAGAAGAGACCCCAAATTGTTAAGGAAACGTTGAAAAAGAGAAACAAAACTGGGGGCATCACGTTGCCTGATTTCAAGCTTTACTACAAAGCTGTAATCACCAAGACAGCATGATACTGGCACAAAAACAGACACACAGACCAGTGAAAGAGAGTAGAGAGCCCAGATGTGGACCCACAACTCTATGGTCAACTAATCTTCGAAAAAGCAAGAAAAAATATACAGTGGAAAAAAGTCTCTTCAATAAATGGTGCTGGGAAAATTGGACAGCTATGTATAGAAGAATGAAGCTTGACCATTGTCTTACACCATAAACAAACTCAAAACGGATAAAAGACCTCAACGTGAGGCAGGAATCTGTCAACATCCTAGAGAACATGGGCAGTAATCTCTTCAACTTCAGCTACAACAACTTCTTCCAAGACATGTCTCCAAAGGCAAAGGAAACAAAAGCAAAAATGAACTTTTGGGACTTCATCAAGATCAAAAGCTTCTGCACAGCAAAGGAAACAGTCAACAAAACAAAGAGGCAACCCACTCAATGGGAGAAGATATTTGCAAATCACACCACAGACAAAGGGCTGATATCCAAGATCTATAAAGAACTCCTCAAACTCAACACTCAAAAAACAGATAATCATGTCAAAAAATGGGTAGAAGATATGAACAGATACTTCTCCAAAGAAGACTTACAAATGGCTAACAGACACATGAAAAAATGTTCATCATCATTAGCCACCAGGGAGATTCCAATCAAAACCTTACAGCTTAGAATGGCCAAAATTAACAAGATAGTGATAGCAGTGTTAAATGGAAATACATATTTGTAAACACATTAAAAAAGAAACGGCAAACCAACAATCTAACTTTATGCTTTAGGAACTAGAAAAATAAAAACTAAACCAAACTCTAGTGCAAGGAAGGACTAATAAAGATTAGAGTGGTGATAAGGAACTAGAAAATTTTAAAAAAGGAGAAAAAAAAAGTCAATGAAAGCAAAAGTTGAAAGAACCATTTCCTGGTTTCAACAATGTACAATTATTTTTTTAAGTTCCTATATTATTTATTTCTGCTCTAATCTTTATTATTTCCTTATTTCTGCTGTCTTTAGGCTTCATTTGTTCCTTTTCCAGATCCTTTAATTGTAAGGTTAGGTTGTTTGGGATTTTTGTCAATTCTAAATTCATTTTTTAAAGATTTTATTTATTTATTTGAGAGAGGGAAAGAGAGAGAGAGAGAGGGAGAGCACACACAAACAGGGGAAACAGCAGAGGGAGAGAGAGAAGCAGGCTCTTTGCTGAGCAGGGAGCCCGATGGGGGGCTTGATCCCAGGACCCTGGAATCACGACCTGAACCAAGGCAGATGCTTAACCGACTGAGGCACCCATGTGCCCCTAAGTTCATTTTTTTTTAAGATTTTATTTTTATGTAATCTCTATACCCAATGTGAGGATCGAACTTAGAACTCCAAGTTCAAGAGTCACATGCTTCAATGACTGAGCCAGCCAGGCACCCTAAGATTTTTCTTGCTTCTTGAGGTAGACCTGAATTGTTATATTCTTCCCTGTTAGTACTGTTTTTGCTATATCCCACTTTAGACCACTGTGTTTAATTTTCATTTGTTTCCCTATATTCTTTTATTTCCTCTTCGATTTGTTTAGTAACATATTTCTAATCTCTATGTATTTGGAGTCTTTCCAATTTTTTTCTTGTGGTTGATTTCTAGAAAGGTTGGTTCTTTTCAATTGAAATTGACAACTCTTTACACAAAGAAAAAGAGAAGAATCAACTTAGTAGTGGGAACATGATGACCAATTTTATAGGAGTCAAAAGGATTACAAGAAAGTACTAAAGACAACTGCATGCCAAGAAATTGAATAATCTAGATGAAATGGACAAACTCCTAGAAACACACTATAAGACTAAGGGAGAAAAAGAAACTCTGAACAAATCAATAACAAGTAAGGAAATTGAATCAGCAATCAAAAACCTTCCAAAAAGAAAATCCCTGGGCCAGATGGCTTCACTTGTGAATTCTATCAAAAATTTAATGATGAATTAACACCAACCTTCCTGAAACTCTTCCAAAAAATCGAAGGGGTAGGAACAATTCCTAACTCATTCTATGAGGTAAACATTATCAAAGCCATATGAAGACACTAGAACACTCCAGACAACTACCTCTTATGAGCATCAATCAGTGCGAAAACCTCAACAAAGTATTAACACAAATCAAATTCAGCAGCATATTAAAAGGATACTGCATCATGACCTAGTAGGATTTATTCCTAGAATATAAGGATGATTTGACACATGAAAATCAATTAATGTTATATACCACAGCAAGAAGTAGTAAAAATTCCATATATGATCCCTTCAATCAATGTAGAAAAAGGATCTGACATTTTTAGCACCCTTTCATTATAAAAACTCTCAATGTACTAGGAATTTAGGGGAACCCCATTAACATAAAGGCCATATATGAAAACCCACAGCTAAGCAGGCAGAGGAAAAGCTGTTATTTCTTCACTAAGATTGGAAACAAGATCAGGATGTATGTTTTTGCCACTGCTATTTAACAAATTATTATTAAGTTCTAGCTGGAGTAATTAGGCAAGAAAAAGTAAGTAAAAGACATCCAAATTGAAAAGAAGTAATATTATCCATTTTTGCAGATAACATGATCTTATATGTACAAAACCCTAAGAAGGCCAAAAAATACTTGCAGGGCTAATAAACGAATTCAGAAAAAAAAGGAGGAACAAAATCAATACACAAAACCCCCATGTATTTCTACATTCTGATAGTCTAAAAAGGAAATTAAGAAAATAATTCTTTTAAAATAGAATACAAAAGAATATACTTAGGAATGAACTTAAACAAGGAGGGAATAGACTTGTATGTTTATACACCATACCAGACTGCTGAAAGAAATGAAAGAAGACACAAATAAAAGGAAAGACATCCCACATTCATGGACTGGAAAACCTAATATTGTTGACAATGCTACCCAAAACAATCTACAATTCAATGCAATCTCAATTAAAATTTCAGTGATGTTTCAGGCAGAATAGGAAAAACCCATTCTCAAAGTCATATGAAATCTCAGGGGACCCCAAACTGCCAAAACAAACTTGAAAAAGAACAAAGCTCAAACATCTTGATTTCCAAAGTTGCTACAAAGCTAGCTATAATCAAAAGTGTGCCACTGACATAAGGACAGATAGACCGATGGAATAAAACAAGACATTTCAGATATAAACCTTCATATATATGGTTAACAGTATTAACATGCATGCCCAGACCATTCAATGGAGAAAAAGACCATCTTTTCAATGAATGGTGCAGAGAAAAGTGGACATTCACATGGAAAAGAATGAAACTGGACCTTTCTCTTATACCATATACAAAAATTAACTCTAAATGAATCAAAGATCTAAATGTAAGAGCTGGGGTGCCTGGGTGGCTCAGTGGGTTAAAGCCTCTGCCTTCGGCTCAGGTCATGATCCCAGGATCCTGGGATCGCCCCGCACTGGGCTCTCTGCTCAGCGGGGAGCCTGCTTCCCACTCTCTCTCTGCCTGCCTTTCTGCCTGCTTGTGATCTCTGCCTGTCAAATAAATAAATTTAAAATAAATAAATAAATAAATAAATGTAAGAGCTAAAACTGTAGAACTCTTAGAAGAAAACACAGGGGAAAAGCTTTATAATGCTAGATTCAGCAATGATTTCTTGGCTATGACACAAAAGCACAGGCAACAACAACAACAAAAATAAACAGACTATCAGTAACTTTTGTGGGTCAAAGAATGCTATCAAGAGAGTAAAAAGGGAACCCACAGAATGGGAGAAAATATCTGAAAATGACATATTTGATAAAGGATTGTATCCCTAGTGTATGTAGAACTCCAACCCTGCAACAAAATAATCCAACCCAAAAGAAAGGACTTGAAAAGCTTTTCTTCAAAGAGGATAGGTAAATAAGCAATAAATAAGCACATGAAAAAATACTCAACATAAAATGCAAATCAAAATCACAAGATACTATTTCATACCCATTAGGATATGATTACTACAAAACTCCAGAAAATATTGTTGGTGAGAATATGAGAAACTGCAAGTAAAATGTATACCTACACTAGAAAACTCTGATGTTGCCTCAAAAAGTTAAACATAAAATTATCATATGCCACTAAACTGGACACTTAAAAAATGATTAAAAAGGTAATCATTTTATGTACATTTTACCACTATAAGAATGTTTAAAATACATGCACATGACTTATAACTTAAATGTTACAATTAAAGACCATATGTGAGATAGCATCAATAGGGAAGACTGAAGAATATAAACCAATTCATTGACAGTATATTGAGCCTATGTCCTTGGCATCTTAATGGGATTAAAAAGAAGAAGAACTAAGGGTCAAATGGACAGGCACCATTTTGAAAGATACTTCTTTTGTCACATCAAAACTTTTATGTTCCTATTTCTTGAAATGAAAATGTGATTAAAAATTATTAAAGATCATATATATCAAAGAATTTTTAAAGTAATGGATATGCAACTATGTGGTATTTGTTTAGAAATGAATGTCAGAAAAAAAAAGAAATGAATGTCAGAAAGTATTAGAGTATTACTTACTCTGATGCAAATAAACATATGAAAAAATGGAGTGATGTGTGAGAAAAAGCATTGCATTTTCCCAAGTGAAATTCTACAACATGCAGATTTTGAAAGTAATTTTCTGTGCTTCTTTAAGAAAGAGGCTTATTTAAAAGTTAGCTATAGGACCAGATGGCAAATAGCCAAAAATTTTTAAAAATGTACTAATTGTTCTTCATTTTCAAGCTGTAGACATTAGTCTGTAGGGATCACCCAAACCTTCCAAACATGCTTAAAAGTTACTCAGTACTTCAATCTATACAAAGAACCAAAGTGACAAAAGTTCATGTTAAAAACTTCAGTTTCACTGAGTCTGTATTTTTAAGTTATTACCTGGAACCAAGAGAAGTAAAAAGTTGATCAAACTGTTTCTCCAGGACCTCTATAAGACTGACTGCTTCCTCTTTTGTTTGATTGTGTATATGTTCCAGCATCTGGGAAGAACATAATACAAAGATCTAATTTGGTATTTTTATTTTGTAAAAATTGTACTGTTCAAATAATTTTAAAATTAAAAGGTACTTTTTGAACTTTTCAAAGTAGCCATACAAGAGAAGATTAGGTGATAAAAATGGAATAAGTTACAAGGTTCGACTTTAAATCCTGGTACTTGTCAGCAAGATCACATCTTTGTTGGCACTGTGCACTGATAAACTGGAAAAAAGGCTTAGAAAATCCACTAAGTTTTCTAAACTTCTTAATCCTTTTTATCATTATAGGAAGAGTCATTCTGGATAGCTGAATTTCTCTCTGGCAGGATTCCTTAAATGAAAAAAACTTAATATACAATATTAAACATACTTGAAGTAAAATGTTAAGTATTCCACATGTTTGCATTTTTTGAACAAAGAATTGTTACTTGAGATCTCTGATCCTTTTTTTTCCCTTCCATTTTCCCCTTTTTAAAACAGGAATGTCTGTCTATACTATACCTGTCCAACCAAAATATTTTAGAAGCAGATTAATTATCTAGTTTCACAGGTTCATGGTTGGAGAGGAATTTTACCCCCAAATGAATCATACACTGAGTCTCAGCCATACCTGGTTTAGAAGATATTTAGGTGAGATTTTGGACTTGATGCTAGAATAGATTTAAGACTACGTTGGGATGGGATCTAAGACTAGATAGGTGAATGTATTTTGCATTTAGAGGACACGAATCTGGGAGGGTGGTTAGAGAGCAGACTGTTACAGGCTGAATTTTGCCACCCCCCCCCAATTCATGCTGGTCTTAACTCCTGTATCAGCTATATATATATATATATATATATTTTAAAGATTTTGTTTATTTATTTGACAAAGACAGTGAGAGAGGAAACACAAGCAGGGGAGGAGGGAGAGAGAGAAGCAGACTCCCCACTGAGCAGGGAACCCAATGCGGGGCTCGATCCCAGGACCCTGAGATCATGACCTGAGCCAAAGGCAGATGTTTACATGACTAAGCCACCCAGGCGTCCCTCAGCTATATTCTTTGTTGCAAATTTGTTGCTGCTGGGTGCTTAGGAGCTTGTTCTTTGTCACCAAGTGAGTCTCTTTTAGGGGGAGATGGGGTAAAGGAGGACAGAAAATAAGATTCTTTGTGTAAGGGTATACAGCCAACTAATAAGCAATGTTGGAAAGATGGTCTGTAATACTTCTGAGACAAAATTCAGCTCACAGCAAAAAAAAAAAAAAAAAAAAAAAAAATCATGGTTCCTTAATAGTGCTCCAATTTCAGTCCACTAACATAACAATGCTACAAGACCAGTCCTAGCCGGCCATAGAAGTTTTCTATTCTTTTGTATGTTCCTCTGTTACTGGATTATCATGCTCAGTAACTTAGTGCTAAGCTCTAACTCCAGTAATATACATCCAAATATACACATTTAAAGAGAATATGCCTTAATTCACTATAGAATTTAATCATTTAAAATGCTTACTTTTACAGCAACACTTAATTGCTCAAAACTATAGCCTGCTATCTTCAATGCTTCATCAATTTCTTCTGCAGTTTTAGTTTCCTAAGAAGGGGAAGAGGGTCCACATACAAATAAAAAATAAAAAATATAAAAATAGATGCTTATATACATTATATTAGTTGTAAACATACCAAGCTACAATTTTGATTATAAATGTAACACAGACCATGAGAGAAACCAAGTAACAAAAATGACACTCTTAATCTTAATATCCAGAAATTTAAAAACTACTAGCATTTTGATTAGAGATTATAGTATTCCAGACTTTTTTTTAGAGAACTTTTTGAAAAAGTGGTATATTTTGTGTAATCTTTTTTCAACTTAAAACTATCTTGGAAAATGTATCATGGTAATTAATGTACACACTAAAAAAAAGTTTTTAAAGAAGATTATAATTTGGCTATGTTAAAACTTAAAAGATATCAAAATCAAGTGATTTCTCCCTTCCCCTGGTTCATTAAAGATCTCTTTAATAATAGCATTTTGGAATTTGTTCTATTTCTGATCTTAAACTAAATACATTATTTAAAGTTATAGAAAAAGTTGAAATTCAGTATTCCAACAATAACATCATCATCATCACAGTGAATTAATTAGGCCTTTTGGCTGCCATTAAAATGATTGGAAAAATTACACTGAGAATTTACACAAGTTTCATATTATCTAGATTCAATAACTAGGTTCAAAGGGAAGAAGCTACATATGGTTAAATATTAGGAACACTAATAGAACTGGTCAAAGGGAGAATGGCTTGCCTCAGGAAAAATGAGAATCGTTCAAGTACACTTAGAATAAGAGATTCAAGTAAAAATGTAGGTTTACCTCACCTTTATGCTTCCAAAAAAACCCCCTGTAATGATAGCATCCTTGAGAGGAGAGAAGAGTAGAAAAACTACCAGACACAACCAGACACAAAGTAAAAATGTTTGGCTTCATCTTACTTCACGAGTAACATTTTTTCATACCGCTATTAGAGATGAGGAGTTCAAAATAGTCCTGTGTGTTGATGTTGAATGTTCTAAACCAATAGTAAGCTGATCAGAAGTCTTTTTAAAGTCCTGAGAACAAATCTTTATCCTGAAAAATGTCAAGCACATTATTTTAAATACCACATTAATATAACAATTTTAAACTCCTTTTCTGATTGTTACTATCAAAAATAATTCATGTGACAACTTTTAATAACAATTACAATGAGTTCTTAGTCATTGAGAACTGTCATCAGCCATGATGTCTCAGTCATCATCCAAAGAGAGGGAAACCAGGGCTAAATATGCTTCCATATGAAACTTAATTTTACCAAGGGGCATCTGGGTGGCTCAGTCATTAAGCATCTGCCTTTGGCTCAGGTCATGATCCCGGCTCAGGGTCCTGGGATGAAACCCCCGCACTGGGCTCCCTGCTCAGTGGGAAGCCTGCTTCTCCCTCTCCCACTACCCCTCCTTGTGTTCCCTCTCTTACTGTGTTCTCTCTCTGTCAAATAAATAAATAATATCTTTAAAAACGAAACTTAATTTTACCAAGAATTCAGCTTCTTAGCAAATCCCTAAAAAAAAAAACCAAATTCCATAGTATAAACTGTGCTAATTACCTCTCCTAATCTCCTAATTACCTCTCCTTAGCTGATGTTTTTTGGTAGAGAAGTTGACAGTCACTGAACTGTCTTTAAGCTCAATTACTTATACACAAATGCCTGCTATTAATATAATATGCTTATGGGTCTAGATAATTTGCAAAAAGGTAATAAATTTACTAGGTAAGTTAATTTGCAAAGAAAAAATTAGTTCCATTTCTTATCTAAACATGCTACAGTTTTTGCTTATTTTTAGGTTTTATTTATTTGTCAGAGAGAGAGAGCTTAAGTACACAAGCAGGGAGAGCAGCAGGCAGAGGGAGAAGCAGACTCCCCATTGAGCAAAGAACCTGGTGTGGAACTCGATCCCAGGACCCTGGGATCATGACCTGAGCTAAAAGTGGATACTTAAATGACTGAACCACCCAGGCATTCTGAGTTTTTGCCTTTTTTTATCTTTATATTCCCATATTGGCTAATAGATAGTAAGCTCTTGATAAATGTTTGCTAAATAACTTAATCATAAGCCTGTAATAGTTTATAGAAGAAAGTATGTTTAAACATTACCCTTATAGAGGAAAAAAACAGACTTTAATTTTTAAACATTCATTACTTTGAAAAGTGAATATTCATGTTCTTGAAAACATGTGAATGCATAAGTCCTTAGGAGTCCATTATTCAATTCCTGTTTCAAAATATATTTTTTTTAAGATTTCATTTATTTATTTGACAGAAAGAGAGAGATCACAAGCAGGCAGAGAGGCAGGCAGAGAGAGAGGGGGAAGCAGGATCCCCGCTGAGCAGAGAGCCCGATGCAGGGCTCGATCCCAGGACCCTGAGACCATGAACTGAGCAGAAGGCAGAGGCTCAAGCCCCTGAGCCACCCAGGCGTCCCCCTGTTTCAAAATATTAAATATAAATTAAAATATAAATCAGGAAGGAATTACATTATTTTTAAACAGACTTATTCCTCAACACATAAACAACTATTTTAAACCAAACTCTACTGAAATTAGGGAATAGGAGTTTCTAATGTAAGTATACTTGACATGGAGAATTAAAAAAAAATACAGTAATTTGGAAAAAATTTGAGTATTTTAAAATGGACTCATTTATTTCTGAAAGTGAAATTTTACTTTATAACCACACTAGATATTATATATATTTAGACAAGAATATAATCAGATTTAACTTGTATAAGGTTTAAAAAATTAGAAAATTTCACAAAGAAGTCCAGATCTCTATCTTCTCTTGAGGGAATAAAAAGGAAGATTGGCAACACTGGTTTAGTCTTAACACACAGCAATAACTAGCTAGAGCTAAAAAGGGGCCACTTCCTTTGGAGAGGGTAAACCTTTGTCCCCACAATTCATACCACTCATTGTTTAAAATCTACCTTACCCAGTAAGTCATTTGCTGGACTGTCGTAGGTACTCAAATTTGTTGTGGCCAATGACTCACATGGAGCCATAAAGATTCCTAATGATTTACTCTAATCATTTCATTCAGAACGCATGGAGGAAATGGCCGGTGGAATACAAATATAGGGGTTGGCATTCAGTAAGCCTGAACTCCACTGGTCCTGTCAATAACCAGTTGCCAGACTAAGTGGCTTACTACCTAAAGAGATAACTATAACTAATTTGGTTTCTGTCTAAGCACCCATGTATGTCCAGACAGAGAAGCTGCATCAGTAATGTGAAAAGCCACTGAATGGTAGTCTAAAAATTTTTGGATTTTATTTAGGTAGGCAATGAAGAAGCATGGAGCAGGGAAGAGTAAGGAAGTGTTAAGGAGGTAGTAAAAAAAGAGTAAGAATTAAATAGGATAGTAAAAATGAAACATAAATGATGGATATGAAAGATATTGTGAAAATTACAGTCTGCAGGAGGCAAAATGAAGAAGTTATGAGGAAATGGGGTGATTTACTGAGGCTTGGTGCCATTAAACAAAATTGAAAGGTTTCAAATGAGGTTGTTCCTTGAAAGTTTCCTGTGTTTCTTTTATTTCCCATGTAATTTATTACTATATTAAATATGCTCTAAAAAGTCAAAATTATACAAAAATATAATTGCCTTCTGAGTAGGGTCTCCATGAATTAACTGGAAGTCTCTTTAACTCTTATGAAGTTATAAAGTAAAACTTTACTATTTTTTCACCATAATCCATCCCATCCCAACCCATAGTCATCCCTAAATATAAATTTATCTAGTACTGAAACATGATTTCAGAAAAACCATAAAAATGTCAAAACATCATGGCATTTCATCTAACAAACATTTATTACATGTTTACTGTATCTAGCAGCAGGAATGTAGAAAGCAGTAAAATGTGGTCCATGCCCTTACAGGGGCTTAATAGACTAGCAGAGGAAGACATAAATAAGTAAGTGCAGGGGCGCCTGGGTGGCTCAGTGGGTTAAGCCTCTGCCTTCTGCTCAGGTCATGGTCTCAGGGTCCTGGGATCGAGCCCCTCATCGGGCTCTCTGCTCAGCGGGGAGCCTGCTTCCCCCTCTCTCTCTGCCTGCCTCTCTGCCTACTTGTTATCTCTGTCTGTCAAATAAATAAATAAAATCTTTAAAAAAAAAATAAGTAAGTGCAATAAGAAAGAACACAGGTGCTGGTCTCCAGCTGGGATTATGTTTTTCAAAAAATCTCTGCTTCACTAATTGAAAAAAGAACTTTATTAATATATACATATACAAAATCCTATTGAAGAAAGGAAAATGAGTAAAAGAACTCCCAAATTATTACTCTTCCTTTTATCAATCACCGCTCAAACCACCTCTTTCTAAAGTCCTCTACTATATCATGCTCATGATACTCTTAAGAATTAACACCTTTTGAAAGCCACAACTCTCAGCGAGCACCAATAACTTTTGCTAGAATGACATTCTCAGCTTTTCTTGCATTCTCCCCTACCCCCCATTGAATAAGGACAAACTAATGCTTTTTTAGGAGCCGGAGTCTCCATTTCACTAATAGTTAAGACAAATTATAAAAAAGCACTCTATAATGGGAGATATAGGCTTCCAGATGGAATGAAAAAGTCGCTGGAATAAAAAGTACAACATAGGGAATGTAATCAATGATACTGTAATAGTGTAGGTGACAGATGGTAGCTACACTTGTGGTGAGCATAGCATAACATATAGAGAAGTTGAATCACTATGTTGTATACCTGAAAATAATGTAATAGTGTGTCAACTATATTTAAAAAAATTTATAAAGAGTACTCTATAAACAATGGGCTAGAAACACTTATCTAAAAATGATATTTTATCAGTGATGCGACAATTACCCTTTCAGAAATACACTGAACTTCAAATACTAAAATAAGTACACATAAAACATACTTTTTAGGCTGCAGTTTTTCCATAAAAGAATCTTCTTTGATACATCCATCTGTTGGACAGTATCCTTGTCTCATATTTATAGTTGTAGCAATCTTAGGACAAAATAATAATAAAAAAACTAGTCATTCATAAATTCTGTTTATCCAGAATTCAAACTAGTGTGCCATTCATAGTAAACTTCTCTTTCAAAGAAAAAATTATATATGTATGATGTTTTTACCCTATTTTAATTTTTTAAGAAATCTACTCTAGCAGTTATTACTTAAATAGAACATTAAAACACTTCATTCTACCACACTCTACAGAATATACTTGTAAAAAGACTTTAAAAATCTACTGTAAAATTTTCACAATGACATTTCCAGTTATGTTCAAAACCTAAAATAATACTTAGGAATAAATTTAGTAAGAAAAATCTAAGTTCTAAGAAAAGAAAACCAAGTAATTTATGGGATCATACAACAAAAACACAGTAAATGGAAAATCATTTCAAACTCCTAGACAAAAATTTAATATCCTAAATATAACTAATGTAAAATACAAAAAATTAACACAATTCTACAGTTCATATGGAAAATATACTATCCAAGAATTATAAAACATACCATTTAGTAGAGATTTATCCCACCAGAGCATAAAGCTAATGTAATTAAAATGCTAGGGTACCGGCATAATAAATGAATATAATACAGCCACATTTGTATGGGAACTTAATACAGAATACAAGGGGCATTTCAATGAAATAGGATTATTCAACAAACAGTGTTTCTTCATTCTGAAGAAAAAAGTTATATGCCTATGTTATACCATATAAATTAGGTCATATATATATATATATATATATATATATATATCTTAAACACAGTAGAAGTACAGAAAACACATATATAACTCTAGGATGGGAAGGTCTGCCTAACCAAAGAAAACCTAGAAACCATGAAGGAGGGGGAAAAAATGACTAAAAGAAACATTTCTGAATGGCTAAATGTAATAAAATTAAAAGTGAAAGACTGGGAGAAAATAGTTAGGATATACTGGACAAAGTATGAATATCCCTATCATATGAAGTATTCTTACAAGTTAGGAAAAAGACAATTCAAAAGGAAAATATGCAAAGGATCTGAAGTGATCTATTAAAGAGAGGGAAGCTGATAAATCAGCATATAAAAGTGCTCAATTTCACTAATAATCAAGGAATTGAAGTGTAAAGTAAGGATATACCTACTTCAGGAGAAGTGGGGGACTCCATCTCAACTGGTCCCCTAAATTAAGCTAGAAACCTACAAAGCCACTTTGAAAACCCATAAAATCAGCCTGAGATATGATTATATACATCTGGATCTCTATGGGGGCAGAGGATCATCGTACAAAGGATGGAGTTGGGATTGCAAAGACAGATACCTGAGAATAAACAGAAGAGGGAGGGAGTCACCAAAGGTAGCCACTGGAAAGTAATACCCCAGCGCAAATGTGTCCTGCGCTTGGAAACCAGCAACAGCTTGGAGACCAGTGGCTGCAAGACAGGGACTGATAACAGCACTCAAACAGAACAAATGGGCTTAAGAGACAATTGTCAGGCATCCGCAGGCAAGGATCTAAGCCTACGGTCCCTGGACCAGCCATAGCTGCTCCCCTGCCTGCACCTAATAGGGCTCGGTGTGGACTTGAGTCACTGGTCCCTGGGCCTGGCTGCCACCTCTGCCACCACCCTCGCTGAGAGGACCTGGCTTGGACTGGAGGCCATGGTCCCAGGAATTGCAGGCACTGAGGCGCTGGGGCCAGGCTCATCCAGACCAGTATTGCTTGCAGTTTTGGTGGCACGGGGGTGCAAAAACAATTGGGGGCCTCCATCGACCACTGGGAGTGTCACCTGGGGAGTGTACCATCTATGGGAGGCTGTGGTATTCAACTGTGTTGGCAGAGGTGGAGTCTGTGTGTTCTGGAGGATTCAGAGAGGAGCAGACTGTGGCTTCTCTCTGAGGTGAAGATCGGGTGCGGACAGTTTACTTTGCTCTGATACTCGGAAAAGGTGCAAAAAGCTGCCAGAGAACAAAAGCCTGAAAAACCAGTTTCCATGGAGCCCATCCCTGATAGGGGACAGGGCAACTCTGCCCAAGCAGCACTGACTGAAAAACAACACAGCAGGCTCTGCCCCCAAAAGACAAGCTGAAAGAACAAGAGGACAACCACCACAGAGGCCCCATAAAACTGTAAAACCCAACACGAGGGAGAAAACAGTATATTGCCTCACAGCCTATATATTGCTTAGATACAATTTCTCTCTTTTTAAATTCTTTCTCATGATTTTTTTTTTAACCTACTTATCATTTCAACTAGATGTTTAACCCACTGAGCCACCCAGACGCCCCTCAACTAGATACAACATATTCAATAGTAACTTTTTAACTTGAACTTTTTCATACCTATATTTTTTTCCTCTTTTCTTAAATATACATAGATAAAAGCTTCAATGCAGTCCTTCTTTCCCTATTCAATTCTATATATATATGTAGAGAGAGAGAGAGAGAGAGAGAGAGAGAGACATATATACACACCAGTTTTAATTTCCCTGTATCTCTGGGAAGTTGAATTCTCTAACAAAGATAAAATACACCCAGTAAGAACTGAAATACCCTCCCTCACACCACACTGAGGGATTATAACCACCCTCCTTTCACCCCTCCCCTTTTAAAATTTTGTTTTTGTTTTTCCCCCGGATCTGTTTGTTTTTGTTTTTATACTTTATAAATCTTACTTTTGGGGCTCATTTTGGCTTTTTTAATTTTTATTTTTCGTGATTCCGATTACTCTGAACCTTCCCAGGGTGCACGTTGCCTGGATAATGGTTGATATATTTGGCTGTACACCCCCCAACTATAACAGAATGACTAGGAGGAGGAATTCTCAACAAAGAAAAAACCCAGAGACAGTGGCCTCTCCATTTGTCAGAAAATAGACCCCAGGGTAGCAGTTATGAAGACAATACACATAGATTCGTTAAGGGCAGAAGTGAGAGCAGATTGGTAGAACTTAAAAATGCTATCAGTGAGGCACATTCTAATCTAGGTACTCTAACAGAGTAAACAAGTCAGAAGAACAAATTAGTGATCTTGAAGACAAACTGACAGAAAAAAAGGAGCAGGAGGAGGTCTGGAACAAACAGCTTAAAATCCATGGAAATAGAATTAGAGAAATAAATGATGCCATGAAATGTTCCAATGTCATAATTACTGGGATCCCTGAGGGGGTGGGGTGGAGAGAGAGACAGAGACAGAGACAGAGAACTAGAAGATTTATTTGACCAAATCAAAGCTGAGAACTTCCCTAATCTGGGGAATGAAACAAACAATCGTGTCCTAGCGGCAAAGAGGACACACAAGATCAATGAGGGCAGACCAACACCCAGGCATGTAGTAGTAAAACTTGCAAATCTTAGAACCAAGGAAACCATTTTAAGGGTAGTTAGGAGGAAGAGATTCCTTATATACAGAGGGAGGAACATCAGAATAATGTCAGACCTATCCACAGAGACCTTGCAAGCCAGAAAGGGCTGCCAAGACATATTCAGAGTACTAAATGAGAAGAATATGCAGCCAGGAATTCTTTACTTGGCAAGGCTGTCATTCAGAATGAATGGAAAGATAAGAAGCTTAGAGGACCAGCAGAGACTGAAAGAATATGTGACCACTAAGCCAACCCTGCAAGAAATATTAAGGGGGATCCATAAAAGGAGAAAGACCCCAAGAGTGATATAGAACAGAAATATGCAGAGACAATCCACAGAAACAAGGACTTCACAGGCAACATGATGACAATCAAATCTCACCTGTCAATAATCACTCTCAATGTGAATGGCCTAAATGTTCCCATAAAACAGCACAGGGATGCAGATTGGATAAAAAGACAGGACCCATCCACACGTTGTTTACAAGAGACTAATTTTGAACCTAAAAATACATCCAGACAAAGTGAAGGGATGGAGAACTATCTTTCATGCCAATGGACCTTAAAAGAAAACTGGGGTAGCAATTCTTGTTATCAGAAAATTAGATTTAAGCTAAAGAATGTAGTTAGAGATACAGAAGGACACTGTATCATTCTTAAAGGTTCTATCCAACAAGAAGATCTAACAATTGTAAATATCTGTGCCCCTAACATGGGAGCAGCCAACTACATAAGCCAACTGTTAACCAAAATAGACATATTGATAATAATATATTAATTGTAGGAGACCTTGACACACCACTCTCAGCAACAGACAGATCAAGTAAGCAGAAAATCAACAAAGAAACAAAAGCTTTGAATGACTCACTGGACCAGATGGACCTTATATATATATACAGAACATTTCACCCTAAAATAGCAGAATACTCACTCTTCTCAAGCATAAATGGAACTTTCTCCAGAATAGTCCACATACTGGGTCACAAATCAGGTCTCAACCAATACCAAAAGACTGAGATTATTCCCTGCATATTCTCAGACCACAATGCTTTGAAACTGGAACTCAATCACAAGAAAAAGTTTGGAAGAAATTCAAACACTTGAAAGCTAAAGACCATCCTGCTCAAGAAAGTTTGGGCCAATCAGGAAATCAAAGAAGAACTTAATCAATTCATGGACACCAATAAGAACAAAGACACATCGGTCCAAAACCTATGGGATATGGCAAAGGAGGTCCTAAGGGGGAAATACATAGCTATTCAAGCCTCACTCAAAAAAACAGAAAAATTCCAAATACACAAACTATCTTTACACCTTAAAGATTTGAAGAATCAACAACAAATTAAACCTAACCCAGCATGAGGATGGAAATAATTAAGATTAGAGCAGAGATCAATGAATTAGAAACCAAAAATACAGTAGAACACATTAATGAAACTAGAAGCCAGTTCTTTGAAGAATTAATAAGATCAGTAAGCCATTGGCCAGACTTATCCAAAAGAAAAGAGACAGGAACCAAATTAATAAAATTATGAATGAAAGGGGAGAGATCATAACTAACACCAAGGAAATAAATATAATTATCAGAAAGTATTATCAACATCTCTATGAAAATAAATTAAGCAACCTGGAAGAAATGGATGCATTC